ACAGGGCGATAGTCAATCGCTAAAGGAATATCATGAGTGATATGTGATGGATATATTTGTTGGCGATGCGAATTTACTGTCGATCAATGATGGAAGAGTTTTAAGCGTGGGGCGATGGAGTTGATTGAAAGGAGACCACGAGCGGCGGTCAAGGGGCGATGGGCGATAGACGATGGGCGATGGGCGATGCGCTGCGAGCGCTGACCGTGGCCGTGGCGCTGCTTTCGAACTTGACCCCGCCCGCGTCTCGCCCCGCTGCTCCGCCCGTCACCGGCAGTGGCTTCGACAGGTGCGTGCCTGACACGCGCTCCCCTCTCGCTTTCGCCGGAGCCCCTTCTAAGAAACAAGCGCGCATTCCGTTGGTGACGGGGGGCTAATTTCGCTAATGGAAGCAATCGATGGACTTCTTTTAAAGATACGCTCTTTATCTGTCATCAATAGGAACAAAATTTATTTATTTATTTTTTTACTGATACGTTGTAGCTTGTTATTGCCTTTGCTGCGGAGCTTGATATATTCTGCGAAACTTTCCTGGATCAAAACGATTGTGGTTACGAGTGAAATGTAAAAAAAACAGTTGACATGTTTTTTATGGAGGGAATTATGGGGGGGGGGAAATTGATAGGACTAGCGAAGTCAAGTTAGCATCTAATTAATTAGTAAATAAGTAAATCTGAATCAATAAAATCAGGTAAAAATTAAACTATGTATGTACCACGGGCGTTACCTGTTTCTAATGATCTCGAGCGATTAAAGTCGTCGGACCAATGGCCCTTGGATACATTGTCGCCGCTCGATCATTAGAACCCTTATAATATCTTTGGTACATAAATAACTATTATTTCACTGATGTACTTAAAATAATTCCCTGTTACTAAAACTCTTAGACATTGGAGAATTTTTTTGTTTCTAATTAAATTTTCTGGTAATTTTCTTTCATTTTAAATTCTATAATTTTAATGAGAAAAAGTTATGCTTAGTAAGAAAGGCATTTTTCTTCTGTGCCAATCTCACATCACGAAACTACGTAGTCCGTGCAAGAATAGAGAAGTAATGTATTTCTGCTATCAATTATTTGTTGGCAAACCACAACTGCTATCATAAGACGCTCATAATTCATCGATTAAGGTTCATCACAAACTGTTGATCAATCAACAGACCCTGTCCATCACTGATATTCTATCGCTCTTAAGCTATCAGAGGTTTCCATTAAGCATCATTATTATTTTATCTTTCTTGCTCCAATAACCCAGCTCCAAGTATCTATTGCTCTATCCCGTGTCTTATAACCCACAGCTCAGGCTCACCACTGATTGGTTACTGCTCAGACGTCATCACTCAATCACTCACGGCCAACTTCATCGACAGACGTCATTCATGATTCAACCACATTAACTATTGCTATTGCCTTATCTCACAACTCAATACAACAATTTCCTGTCTGCTATCGGCTGCAATCGTTCAATCATCTTCCACGTATCGCTATCTATACACAACTACTCGCCAATAATTTCTCTGCACATTCTCCAACCTTAATACTCAGTGCAGTGTAATATCGTAAATTGCATACAGCGCATCATAAATCAACTACTGTTCCCTGTTCACTATTTTCTCTCATTCGTTTTTTATCCTTCTCTCTTCAAAATGTGAACCCCTTCACACACTCGCCATCAGTCAATGCATTCACTCGCTTTCCAACATTCCTTCGAAGGGCTCGCCGCTCACCACCAGCTGCGCATTCTGCTTGTCTAAACTGCATCACTAGTTGAATGTGGAGTCGCTGACGCTGTAAACTGTTTTGAAAGTACTTTCATGCGTTGAAAATTCCTACATTCTATTCATAGATTTGTTAAAATAAGTTCTTATAGTATATGGCATTGGACTTACCAATGAATCTTAGCTGAGCTTATTTATACTCCCGTTCAAAAATTCCCAAACTCTTGTATGTTGTCTCCATACAGGATGTAAACTGGAAATATTTTCAAATTGTAATCATCGTAAAAAATGCTTGCAGGTGTGAATGATAGTTAAAATAGTACAGCTACATTTTTACGCTTTCTTTGCTAATATGCACAAAAATGCATAAAAGATCATCTGTAAACTGATCTTCAGCGTTAATCTTTAATGAGATCATTGTCAAAGACTTCGAGGAAACATACTGCAAACCCGCTTTGTTCACAACAAAGGATCGATGTGTACGGAAACCAGTACTCAGTGACATAAGGTGGATGGTCTGCCCACGATAACAAGAGACTTCCTGCTCATTACCTTTTTTACATTACGCATAATTCATTGGCTCTCGCCGCCTACTCCAGACCAGAGCCTTCAAGCGGAATCCGACGACCCAAGACGGCCCCTACGAGAGAGAAGAGTGCTGGTGCAGAACAAAAGGGAAGAAAACCACAAAAGAATCTCAAACCACAAACATTAATTATTATTCTTGGTCTCGATTCGAAACATCGTAACTTTATTTCTTGCGATATCTATAAAAAGGCATTTTTAAAAGTTACTAATATTTTCTTGTTGTATTCTGGAGATGTAAATATATTTGATAGTTGTTTACATGAGTTTGTTTTCCTTCAGTTTAGAAATATAAATATTTTTATTGAGGTTTTTAAGGTTTTTCTGCTCTGTAGTATTAAGTTCCTCTGTATGCGATACTAATATTCTGAGTACACCTAACAAATAATAGGTGCAATACAGTAGAAAAATAGTAACACAGTTGAAATTATTATTATTATTATTATTATTATTATTATTATAGTAAACGCCTTTCAAATGCATTAAAATATTAAATTTGTCACAAATTTGCTGGAACGAAACATGTTGCATCTAAGCAGAAATGACAATCCAAACAAGGTTGTCTTCTCTAACAAAAGCCACTTCATGCTTGAATATCTGCTTTCTGCCTCCTCAGGTTGCTGAAAAAAATGTTGATCCTTATTGACCCACTATTTGTTTACAGAGTGTAACGGTAAATCTACAGACTTTACATGCAATGTAAAGCAATACTTTACATGCAAGACTTTACATGCAATGTTTTACTGACCACGTGGGATAAACTGAATGAAACTAAAAATGTAATCAATCTCATGGATTATGTACCTAAATTTTAACAAATGTGATAATGTAATTTGTAAAATTTCTTTTGTAAAAGGTACCAACATTCCTATAGCATATTTGTATATAAAGTACTTATGTGTATTAAAACGAATATCGAGAACCCTAAGATACAGATGCTTAGATTCTCGGGCATTGGTCAGGTTAAAAAAGAACATGAATTTATGTTCTTGAACTATTTGTAATTGTCTTCTACTTGGATTAGTCTTCAGGCCTATGAATACAAAAAGTAGATTATAATATTTCTAATGTAAATTAAATAATGATATATGAAACGTAAATTAGTGGCATATGTTTTCTATCAATATTGTATTAAATACATTGCTTATTTCTCATAATTTCAAAATTATGCCAGCTTGTAGATGCGTGTTGTAATATGACCGGGAAGCTTATTCCTATACAATTGACACAAGCGGTGTGATACGACAGTTATTTACATGCGTTTGTAGGTACGTACCAATGAAGCAAATGCAAACTAAAATGAAATAGAGAAGCGATGGACCGAGGTAAATACAAATATAAATAGAAATGCGCATTCGCTATACTTCTCAACAACTGCATAATATTATACGGTGATATCGAAGGCTTCCATACCAAGCGAATGCCGGAGAGGTATCCTACCAAACGGGCCCCAGCCCGCTCTCTAACTTTTCTTCCTCCAACTTGTCCTATCCTACACACACTTACTCTTACGTGCACTACACTAGCACCCTTGCCGAGAGACCGGTCGGGAGCTTAGGGCTGTCCCGGCTGGGGCGGTGCCCCGCTGTGGCAGATATTTGGTTGGGGAAACCCTGCAAGCCGGCGGTAGGTGGGAGCTGGATCCCGCCATCCAGCGGGGAGAGAGTACCGCCATCTCCCGTGCAAAAACATAAACTACACTTACGGTACTAACGACCCAATTAGTTGACGCGCCCGAAATCAGTAACAATCAATCAATCGGGCAGACAAGGTCATTCACATAATCTTATACAATTGCAATCTGCTGTGAACAATCTTATACAATTGCAACTCCCTTTATTCTAAACACTTTACACGTTCCGCCCAACTTCAAATGTTGGATTCCTCGCGTACAGATGCGCGCACTCGCTGGCGCTGCACCTCGGCGGGGTCGGTGACCCGGGGCTCGCGAGTGCAGATCGCGGCCTGTAATCGGGCGCTGCGGTCGAGGCGCACTGATTTCTACGCTCGAGGCGTCGCGTCGCCACGCGCCGCTTTGTTTTCGCATTTGTTTTGCGACGGGCGCCGGCCTGTCGCTAGCAGAACGTAAGCAGCTCACTGCCGCACCTTCAGCGCTGAATTCTTCAGGGGCGTCCACGTAGTGTTTTCGAGCCAGCGTACGAATATTTCGACCAGTTTTAAAACAGCTGAGCATCGTTATGGAAAATGTGTTTTTCCAGCAACCAAATAAAGTATTCCGCAGCCTTAGGCGTGAGCAGTCTGAAATTAAAGAGTGATCAAATGCATTTCATGGCTTCTTTTTTCATTTACAAAAAATAACATTGAAAAATATATTGGGTTGTCAGATGGCTTCAAGAATTTCTTCCTAAAATGTAGTATTATAATTCCCCAAATTGTTAAGCTAAAAGGTAAGAAATCGGGTATTAAACGTATATTATTGAAATGCAATACTTTATCACGTACTTACAGGGATCTTTAAAATTTTCAGATCAGTTCAACTTTTCACAGTTCACCAGCAACTTCCCTGCATGCGCGCCTATGTCGACAGCCGATAATGCTTCTAACGTGTCAGTTCAGTGTGTGCGTCAGCTATTGCGTGATTTAGATCACTCGAAGTCGTTACTAAAAATATTATAATAATTGATATAAACTCATGTCTAAAAGCATGCTGGTATAATAAAAAGAATTCTGATAGAGCAATGGATTGTGAGGCAAAGCACATGGAAGGTAAACTAAACCCTTCTAATCTCCCACCTTTATCATGCTTTCAAATAAAACCCGCAATTGTCCAACTTCCATTTAAAGACTAATCCTTGTAAATAAGACTGTGTAATCCGATTTTTTAAGAGCATTTGTTTAATGGTGTCAACATAAATACTTTTTTTCATGCAAAACATTGGTTGCCGTACGGGAGAATATTAAGATAACATTGAGATAACAGCAGAATTAATGCTCATCATCACTACGTCCTACTCAAGTATCGCACATTGCAATAGGAATCGACCTGACAATAAAATCGTTCAAATGACAAAAATCGAGTCCTAAATTCCCCAGAACAGACTGCTTCAACAGATTTGTAGGAAGCAGGCCAGCAGCGGCGCCCACAAGCCCACACTCAAGCAAGCGCGCTACGAACTGGTGACAGACTAGAATAGTGTTTCTGGAAGTGTCAACTACTATTGTTATTAGTAAGGAGAGGATTCAGATGCCCTAAAAAATCTTGAAATATGCTTTTAAAATACGTATTTATTACCAAAGAAGTCTGAAATATGCACTTTAATATTCAATTAAAATTAACAATATTTCATTTCCTGTATATATCTTTCTTGATAAAATTCAGAAGAAGCATACTTGGAATGCAAAGACATATTTTTGTGCAAACGTAATATAACTTAGCTCATCCGCTCGTGCGCGCGGAGAGAGGTTCTGCAAATAGGAAAGCGACTCACCGCTCGTTTTCTAAAACATCTTTTTAACCACATGAATTTTCGATTTCACTTAGTTGTGTTGAGGGATCTCGTGGCATCATCTGATGTTACTGAAAACTGTTTGACTGAGAGGTTCTAGCCTTTGAGTCACAACGGTGGTGAGATCTTTGACACAAGCTACATAGTTGGGTCGAATGCAACCGCTGTCTGAACAACACTAACGGTTAACTGCTCTAATCAGTAGTTGTCCATTATTTTTCCAACCAACACCAGCTATATTCCAAAGCAATCTCCTAATAAACGGACCACGGACCGTTCGCGATTTTTTCTTTCGCTTCCTTGTCCTATCCTTATCCCTTACATTCAATTACTCCTACATGCAGTACTCCATCACGGATTTCGGGAGAACAAATAGCTTAGAACTTGTCCTGGCTGGCGCGGTAGCCCACTGGTAGTAGATAACTGGTTGGAGAAAATTCCGCGAGCCGACCTAGAGGCCGGCCCAAAACTCGCCATCCAGCGGAAGAAGAACACTGCCTCCTCCAGCTATTGAAACAAGCACTATACTTACTGAACTAACGACTAGAGCAGACGACGCACTCGGAAACACGAAGTAATCAGTCAATCAATCAATATTTAGAGTCTAGGACGTTTGAAGTACCGCGCCAGGGTTGTTCCAAGCGGACACCGGAACCGCGATTTATGTAACGTGCGTTCCCATCCTCGCTCCATTCCTGTTCAGTCGGCTGATAGATGGATTCTCACCTTCATATTCTCTTTTAGTTTTAAAAATACGTAAGTCCTATTTTTCGGTTTGTCTAAGTAACGAACGTCTGTCGAAAAAATTTAAGGAATCAGACTTTCTGGACCTTTAGAGTCTGTTAACAAAATCGGCGTTTCGAGAAGGAAATTTAAAAATGATTATATTCAAAGACGTTTTTACTAGTGAGATTATGAAACTCAACATTTTATTTTTATTCAATAATTCATAACTCGTTATCATTGTAACGTAATCAAGAACAGATTATTTTCAAGATTTGTGTTATTATTCTGGCTTACCAATATATGTTTCAATTTTTTAAAATTATTTTTTTATATTCTCCTATAAAATATCCTGTTTTGAACTTACGTGCTTTCTAAACGAAGGTGAGATATAAATCATCGTCTATGAATTATAAACACAAGCATATCAATGCGACTTTCACGCTAAGGTTCAAATGTGGCCGTGGTACCAATAGATCACATGCGTCAGGGCAACTTCCCCATGTATATAGCTTCTGCACTCCATTTTACTCTAGATCGGCTTGTTTCTACATTGCTGCTTTTCATGCCAACGCTCCCGTCTCACTCCAGTGGTAAAGTGCGAAGTGTCATTTCAATTTTGACGGCCTGTGAAGAAGCGGTATTTTTGGGAAGCTTAATACTACGAATAAGTATTGCAAGTACTAATTTCACAATATGTTATATTATTATTCCATGCATCCTGAGAAAGAATATGGCGTTGATTAGGACTTTGTCTATACTATACCCTACTTAATTCGTTTTTCTCTTCCAAACTCAAAAATTTCCTTATACTGCTTTCGTGTTGATGAAGTCTGTAGGCGTAGAATTCCTGTAAAAGAAATATACAGTAATATATAAAAGGGCAACTGACCTACAAAAACAGTTCCATGTTCTTTGAACATCGCAAGGAACATCCCAGATGTATTGAAAGATGAATATATATTGTACATAAACTATGTTTGTAGTTTTCCAGAGGTTGTTGAATTCATTTTCTCATAGGAATCCTTTTTGGACGACCCTCTTATGATTGGAATAAGATAATACGTCTCATAGGTCATTGCTTCGGGCAACCAATTTTTTTCCTCGCTGAAGTAAGCATTGATATCACCTAGAAAAAAACGGAATGTCAAAAAGATGGGCGGTACCTCTTTGGTTCTGTGGATTAACCGCAGACTTACAACGCGAGTGCTCTGCGTCTGCGGTTGATTCCTCTCACTTAATATTAGTCACTCTCGCTATCCTACACAACTCTCTGACAGCCTACGTTCATTGTGGAGGTGATTTTCAAAAGTAGTGCAGAAGACCTCATCTCTATTCCTTTCTTGTTTCGGAGTGGCTGAACAAAAAGGCAAAGAAAATGCAAGAGAAACGTTTGTTCTAGTTTCACGATTTCAACCACAGTGAATATAATGAACATAACACGAGAAATACCTAGCTCTAAAGCTTTCATCTGCACTTATACGTGACGTTCATTCGGACGTGTGGTGTAGGTGTCCGATGATACCATTAGCAGAGAGTTTTCATATAATTTCATTCATTAAATTTCAAAAACATAGTATATACTTTTACTACGTTTACAAGGTGTCCGGGAAAGGAACGTTCAAATTTTCAAAATAAACTCTTAAGGAAATTTTAAACATATTTTGTCTAATTAACTACTTCGATATTCCGAATCTCTGAGCCGCAATAAACACTAGAAAGTTGGTTTCAAAAAATGTTTTCTAGGCAAATATTTGCGTTTCAGAAGCATATAAACACTTCAAAAATATGTGAACTGTTTATTATTTACAAAAGAAATGAAAGTATTAGATCAGAAAGAAAAATTAACACAGAAATAAAAAAGCACCCAATTTATTCAATTCAACAGCTTTTTTATTTGTGGGTTAATTTTTCTTTCTGAACACATGTATTAATTTATTTTCAGTAAGAAATGTTTGAAAAGTATCAACTAATTCATTGACAGGCTGATTACAAATATTTACATATCTGACAATGCAACAAACATTTTCTTTTTAAATTGTGTATAATTCTCACAGTGTTGGTTAAAATTGATATAATATTGACTGTGTCTCCTCATAGCTTTCCAATAAGAAATCATTCACATTCATCGTATTAGATAGAAGCAACTCTCTGCGAGGCATCCTGTCGAATGAGCTGCTGCGCACTTCGAACGCGCTCGCTCCATCGAAGCGAAAGGGAGAGCGAAGCAAGAGCGAGGGAAGAGCGCCTGAGAGGAGACGTTCTCCGGAGCCACTCGCTCTGCATATGGAGCGCTCCGCGCCGCCCCCGGTCGCCGCGCCTTCCTCGCCCGCGCATGCGCTCGTGCGCGAGGAGAGAGGTTCCGCGCATGGGGAAGAGACTCTCCGCTCAGAACGCGCCACCGCCCGGCACCGCGCGCCCACCAACCTCCCACCGCCCGCATCGCTCTCTCACCCACGGCGCCCACTCGCCCTCGCCAGTCATCTGTCACACCCGTCTCACACACCGCTCAATGTCGCTCCGTCACCCACATCGCATCACGGCACCCACATAGCCACGGCCACACCAATACGCCCACGCAACCACATCCGCCTCCGGCACCCCACATCGCCCCCATGACGCACCTTCATCCACCTCGCCCTCGCCGTCCCTGACACACCCGTCTCCCACACCGCACATGCCGCTCGTTCACCCACATCGCTCACGGCATCCACATAGCCCACGGCAACCACATTGCCCATGACGCACCTTCATCCACCTCGCCCTCGCCGTCCCTGACACACCCGTCTCACACACCGCACATGTCGCTCCTTCACCCACATCGATCACGGCACCCACAACATCCACGGCACCCACATACCCCACGGCAACCACATCGCCCGCGGCACCCACATCGCCCAATCCTTTCACGCCATTCCCGTCGCCCACACCCAAGTCGCTCCCTCACCCAAATGGCCCACGTCACCTATTTTGCCCACGCCAACTACATCGCTCTACGCACCCCCATTGCCCTTACTTCCCATATTGTCCACGGTACCCAAATCTTTGTATTTCATTCCTTTCGCCACATCCTCCAAGCCTCGCCTTCACCCACGTAGTTCTCGTTCCCCACATCACCCTCCCCAGCCAAATCGCTTTTACCATTTTAATGTCTATTAAAAACTCCGATTCACACTTTTACACGTTGAAATATAAAGGAATAAGGAATTAAACTTCCAACACTAGACCCGGAAAAGGTGGCTCAGGGCATCAACTGATGTCCCTGCAGTGCCCCTAAACGGGAGGTCCTATGGTTCCACTCCCGATGGCAGCAGGATTTTCTATACTAGCTACAAAGCTAGGTCGAATTCAGTCGCTGTCTAGAGTAGAAGTCTAGCGGCCGATTGCTCTGACCGGTAACTTTTCGTGGTTTCTCCGATCAATACCAGGCGAATACAGGAGAAGCGATCTTTCCTTCCTCGTTGCACACCTCATCACACACACAAATATGCACCACTCTCCGGGAGGCCAGTCGTTAGCTAAGACCTAGTCCCGGCCGGAGCGGTGCCCCGCTGGTGGAGATAACTGGTTTGGGAAAGCCCCGCTTGCACAGGGGTAGGTCGGCCACCATATCTCACCAAATAGTGAGGGAAGATCACCGCCTCCTCCAGAGGGGGAAAATATATGCATTGTACTCACGGAATAACTAATCCAATTAGCAAGTAATGTGTAAACAAATGTTTCCTTCAGTGGCGCACTGCATTTATTGTCCTATGTATTATAGACCCTATAGTTAATTATCGGTATATCAAATACCTCATTCAAATATAAAATTACAAATCTTTTTTGCAAGTTTTATTATTTCTATATAAATGTATAAAACCTTTTTTCGTATTTCGTGAGACAAGTGTTTTTTTATTGTCTCGATATATGTGTTCCCTCCACCTAAGTTTCTCTGCAAAAAACATTTCCCACTCACTTCGCATATTTAACATGAAAATAACTATTTAAGAACAACGCGAAAAAAGGCGGGTTTTATAATGAAGTTTTCTGTGTCCGTCTAAATTTGCGTTTTCTGTATCCTTTAATCCATTTTATCAAACTGAAGTTGTCACGTTGGTTCTTTTCGGATTGCAACAGCTTATTGAGAATAATTCTAAAGTGAGTCATTGTATTTCATTTATTCATGACAATGATCTAATGTTTTCCTTATCAAGAAAACATATTTTGTGCGAAAATAACACTCTAAATAAATATGTAACGTCATATAGATATAATGTAAAGTTTTGTTTGAGGTTGATTTATTACACTTCTTTCAGACATTTTCATAGAAGTTTTCATTAACTTGCACACTAGCTTGCAAGCTTATTGGTTTGGAATATGTGGAAACTACAGCAGTAAAAATAATTTTCACGTACTGAAGATCCGTACTTCTGATGTTGGATTCTCCTAATTAATTCTAAAATACAATAGTATAATTAGTTTTACTACACAATTTTAGCGTGCAGTTATGTGGAAAATTAGAAATGTAGTATAAAAGAGAAGGTAATTCTCAGAAACATGTATATGTATTATTGCTGTCTCCATTCTCTCTGCAATAGTTCCACTGACTTTCATCCAGTAATGAACTTTAAATTAGGTGATATAGGTCTAGTAATTATAACCTTTGGACAATCAATAAACATTTGTAGCGAATATGAAACATTCATAATGGCTTCTGTATTAGCAGTAATAATACATAGTTCGAACGAAGTTTTAAGGACGTTTCGAGGAACATAAACCGACTTGGCAACAACGCTGCGAGGTGCAGTAGCTACGTCTTCCCGTCTCCTATCACCTGTTGCTCCGAGCGGTCATTCACCGCAGTCAAGTACTTTCCTAGCCATCAGCTTCTGACATCTTAATCGAAGAAAGTTCGCACGTTACCTCAACTAGCTCTTCCTCTTGTTATTATTTGAAGAGCGCGAGATTGGCTCTGAGAAAATCGGTTTCAGTTTCAATCCAAACATAATGCGCACTAAAGAAGTTTAATGCCTCTGTTCGAAAGTGCATTATAAGTTATGTTTGCATCTTGTAATAAAGGAACGTGTCGTACAATGTTCCCAAAAAACATTAACAACCTAACACAACAACTTAACAACTTAACTGCGGTCGTAGATTCATCAACCAAGACAAGAAATAAGGATTGAAAAACTGCAAATTGAAAATCTTGAAATTAATATCAGGTAACTACATCGTATTTTGGAGTCAAACATGTTTATCTTACATGTGAAGTAGTCTGATAGATTAGATGAATAAACAATAATTTTTTATATTTCTTTACATTAAACTAATTCACCGGGTTCAGAAAATTTTATTTTTAAGAAAATTTGCGAAGCTGTCCCATACATTAATCGTGATGTTTTAATCAATATTCTAGGCATACGATACGTGGCTTGTTGCTCATGATATTTACCATTTCCTACTTAACAATCGAAAGAAAACGAAGTTGCAGAATTTTAATATTGTGACCGCAATGACCGGTTTAACTCTATTTTCTGTCGTAAATAATTTCACGGTTGTTACTTAATTCAGCTACTCCTCCAAAATGCTAACACTTACATATACTGAACAATAACAATAACAATATGCAAATACGTTCCAAATATTTACATTGTCTTTTTTCACTGCTCGTGAACAAGAAACTAAAACGTCTGCCATCATTTTCGCCTATCAACTGCTATAGAATACTTTTCTTTCCTTTTTCGTTTATTTTAATATTGTCATATCACTTATTCTCACGATTACCCTAATGTTCGGAGGCTGTTTTATCTACATTCTGTCAGTTTTATTCCCTTTAATCCTTTTAAATTTTCATATTACATCACGATCTATGCGACCTTCTTCTTTCAACCATCTTCCATATAATATTGTTTGTTTTTTTTCAATTTAGTTGTCCAAAAACTAAAAATCAGCGCTAATGTTTATGTAATTTTCACCATCATCTTTATTTCTCTTACATCCGGCCTATTTGTTAGTAACTAATTTCCTTAGATCTGGCTCAACTTTAAATTGAAAGTCTTTCTTTTCTATTTCTTTTCATTGTTTAGATTGGAATGTCACTTTCGAGATTAATATTTAATCATTCAAAATTCATCATTTTGACGAATCCTTACGAATTGTTACACATGCATTCCATTTTCTTGTCGATTTTGTTTCTTTCTCGCACTTACTTTGTAAGATGAGGACGTTATGTATGCCATTTTGCGCCAGAAAATGGGGAATTTGGTCTTGTTGAACAGGTGAATCTTCTCACTAAATGATTCTACAAAAAGAGTTTGTGGTAAACTAAGTCTTGCCATGCTTAAAGAGAAAAAATACACTCTAAAACTTTAATTCTTAGCTTAAGTTCATATGTAGCTGTGAAAGACATGGATCTATGGCTTATTTGAAATCAAATAAAATTGTTTAAATTATTGCGAATGGAAATAATAAAATAATGAACTATACATACGTAAAATTATGAGAGTCGGTCAGGGGTGTATTTTAGCTGTAAACGAATCTATGCTACAACACCAGATTTTTTCCCAAATTAGTAACGGTTACCCCGCAATTTCTGCTCATATTAGCACATCACAGCCATCAATCGCAGAACTCATTACCAATCGTAGCAGGTTAGCTATAAAAACTAATTATTTTAAAAACTAAAGAAATTCGTCAATCCAAAACTGCGTTCCTTACAGTCAGACACATTGTCCAACAATGAGAAGTACCACTTAATTTAAAATTGCCGAGTCGCGATGTTGCCAAGATTGCTGTATGATGTCTCGTGAAAATCTCTCATTGAAAGAAAAGCGGTAAATTCGAATGTTCAATTCCAATCATTGGAAATTAGGCAAACTCTTTGTATTTTGAAAACTAGTAAATGCAAATATTTAACTTTTTTAAAGCGTCGGGAAGGTTGAGTTAAAAAAAAGTGGAGAAAAAATTAAAGAAACAATTCGAAGCAATTGTTTGAAACTATTTTGTTTTTTGAAATTGCCCATATCTCACATAGCGATAGGTAAAATATTTTTAAAAATCATTTATTTAAAAATATGTTATTTTATTTATTTTCGAATTTTCAGTTGTAGGAATACGCCGAAGAGGATTTGAACTTTTGCATTTTTCGGAAATTCAGAGCCGAAAAAAAATATGTTGATCCTCTCGGCTGTGCACCGTTTTTAGGCTCTCTTTGCTCTATAGGAGAAACAATGAAATCCAAAAATTTGGAGCCATTTTTAGAATATATTAAATATATGTTTGATACATCATGTAAAGTAGTTCTCTAAAAATCAAAGTATTATTTCATTCAAGGGGTTGCGATTTCAGCCAGATCAATCACGGAATATCGATTTTTTA